CGTGAAACAATTTCAAGACATCTTTTTGAAGGGAAACTGGTATGACTACTTAACTCCCTAGCAAAATGCAACCTTGCTCAACTGACAATTCGTTACGCCTCTTGAAATATGGTTTAAAGTTTTCATCAGACACAAATTCAGGCCAACCCGAAACAATAAATTCCTTTACTTTGACAAGCAATAAATCTTTACTGACTTCCTTTGCGATATCACTACTATTTAAAGGAATCTGATTTACTAAATTAAATGAATACAAAAAATCTGGAATTTCCGTTTTATCTTTACAAGGCAGGCGCGACAGACCGTCTGCATTACTTATAGAAGAACCCTTTTTATACTGAATATCATATTGATAACCTGCTAAGGTAACAGCCCACCTAGTTATTCTGGCAGCCGCAGATGTCGGAATGCCCTTGTTTTTGCCAAAAATAAATTGTAAAGGCTGATGATCAGTTACCAATATAAAATTTCGACCATATAAGTATTTATGAAATTTTTTTAATGCAAATATTATGGCTAAAGCTTCGCGTTCTAAACTACTATATTTTTGTTCTACTAGTGACAAGGTACTGGAAGCAAATATCACAGGCTTCTCTGAATTATCAATTTTATGACTTAAAACACAACCTACTCCATAACTACTAGCGTCACACGTGACGTAAATCGGCTGACTAGGATCATAATGAGTCAAAACACAATCTGAAGTTAACCAATCTTTACTTGATTGAAAAACCATCTCGCATTCCGGAGTCCAATTTTTTGAAAAATTAACGTTAGCTTGACACAATTCAAATAGAGGTTTCAATTTAGCAGATAACATTGGAATAAATTTTCCATAATAATTTAAAAGGCCCAAATAAGATTTTAGTTCTGTTAGAGTTTTTGGCACTGGCGCCGACTTAATTGCGGAAATTTTTTCTTCAGTTGGGTGAATCCCATTTACATCGATAACATGGCCAAGAAATGCAACCTTAGTTTGGAAGAAACGACATTTATCTGGATTAACTTTAACATTAAAATCTGACAATCTTTTGGAAACAGATTCCACGTTCTCCGAACATTCCTGCAAAGATGATCCAAACACCAAAATGTCATCTAAATAACATTTTGTGTTTTTTAAACCTGACAAAATACTATCCATGACTGATTGGAATATTCCAGGAGCTGCACTGACTCCATAGGTCAACCTAGTGTAGGAAAATAAACCAAGGTGTGTAATAATGACTAATAGTTGTTGAGCTTTATCACTAGCCCTCAACTGCTGGTAAGCGCCCTTAAGATCAATGACTGTGAAATAATGATGCCCACTTAAGCATGCAAATATGTCCTCAGGAAGAGGTAAAATGCAATGATCACAGTCCAACGCCTGATTCAAAGTTTTCTTGAAGTCTACACAAATTCTAATTTCATCAGACGATTTTTTTGGTACTACTACTATGGGGCTTGCCCAATTACTTACGCTTATTTTTTTTAATATACCTAATTTGACCATTTTTGACAGTTCCAGTTCAACTTTATCTCGCAAAGCGTAAGGCATATCATATGCCCTATGAAATGTTGGTTGAGCCCCATCTTTCAATTTCAGGTCTACTTGAAAACCCTTTATAAAAGAATTTGGTCTTTCATCAAATACACTTTTAAATTCTGCTTTAATTCGTGACACCAACATTAAAATTTTCTGATCGACTTGTCTATTTGTAAAATTAATGACATTGAAAGATTTTTGACATTCCGATACCTTTTGACATGAATTTGACTCATTTACCTTGTCAATATACCCTTTAAAATTTAATTTATTTCTCCACCCCGGGTTCAAAACATTTAACCAATTTCTGCCTAACAATGGAGCAAAATAATGACTAGTATGAAGAATAACTATTGGTAAAAAAAAAGAATCATTGAAATTAACAAACACATCAGTTTCTCCTAAAATTCTGACACCCTGCCCAGTGAGAACCCTCAAATCATATTTAACTGAATACAAACGTAAATCTGCTAAATGATAATTAAAGTCTCTTACATGCATCACTGTACGACATGCACCACTATCAATTTCAAAAGTTAATTTCTGACCCTCAACTTCCAATTCGACTTTTTCTGGATCTGCCCTACCTGACTCAAGCACTGATAGGAACCCTAAAACCAAGGGCTCGTCTTCTTTTTCTGCTGTATCTTCTACCATATTCACAGCTGAGCTCCTACACATTCTGCTAGTATAGCAGGAGTGTTAGGACGGAATTCTTTTTTATTTGACAGTACATCCAGATTTTCCTGATTGACACAAACTAATGGGGTCTCCATGGATTTTATTTGGCTTTCCGCTACTTCAATTGCCAAAGCAATGTTGAAAGCTTTTTCGAAGGTCAAATTTTCTTTGGACAATAGTTTACGTTTAATGGCCTGCGAACGTACACCACACACCAATCTATCCGTCAGGCATTCCGATAAGAATGCCCCAAAATAGCAGTGTTTTGACAAGTTTTTCAGTCTAGTTACAAAAGACTTGATATCTTCATTGGCCTCCTGATTAGCACTATAAAATTTATAACGCTCAGCAATCACTAACCTTTTTGGACTATAGTGATTCAACAATGTTGTTTTTATAGCATCAAATGACTGACCACTAGGTAAATCAGGAGCCAACAAATCTTTCAAGATATTATAAGCCTCACCTCCTAACAGAGTTAATAAAAGTGGAACTTTCTTATCATCTTCCACTACATTGCAGATAAATAGTTGATCGATTCTTTCCAAATAGAACGTTATATCAGACTCCTTCGGATGAAATTACTCAATAGACCCGATTAAAGCCATTTTAATCGTTAAATATTCACTTTTTGTCACAAAAATGCAATAGGGGAACCGGACTAGGTATAATACATGAATTCGTACCGACACTCGTCGCCAAATATGTTATGTATTTGGGAAAGGAAAATGCACATGCAAACTTGAACAAAACCATTTACTAGACTACTGTATCTCAATCAACAAAAAACCACCCTTCCATTGTTCATGCTCATAGCCAACCCCCAACCTTCTGCCTGCCATTTTTCACACCCTGTTCACACTATCACTGATACGACAACCAGAAGGTAAGTTCACTAAATACTAAAAACTCTAAATACACTAAAAACTAAACATTACACAGACAAAGACCAAAACACTATGTAAATAATGTAACGTGCCCTTATGTAAAAAATTGCTTCATGTTGTACCATACTCGCTGATAGATGTACCGCATTTTTTTTCATTAGTTTTGTAAAATAAAGGTGTATTACTTTTGAATTTTTGTTTTTACTCGAAACTGTTGGTACATATTTGTACCACCAGAAATTCCTGATGGTACAATTATGTACCAGGGGTGAAATCATCCCCTCGCTCAAAAATGCAAGTTCAAGGCCTGAGAACAGGGTTGTTCTTGAGGAATTTTCGTGTGTGCCTGCAGCAACACTCAAATAGTGCCAAATAGTGCCACCTAATGAAAAGTGATGGGACTGAGAAAGGATTTTTTGACTTTTTACCCATTTCTTTTTATTACGTAATTAAAAGGAGTAAAATATAATAGTCGCTTTCGTTTTACACGCCGTTTTAGCTAACTTTGAGATTCTGACCTAAGTTGGCGTGGCGTTCGTTTTATTATTTCTTAAATTCAGGTTGGTCAGATTTTTACCTCCCCCCTTGCCGATTGCAAGGTTACCGCTAACCTCAAAAAGGGAAAAATTTCGACGTTTTTGACAGTTTTGGCTGTGGTTAAGAAACAATAATTAACAAAATTAAGGATTAATAATGTACCTAGCAGAATTGCGCCTAAACATCCAAGTATTTTTAGTTGTGAAAACAAAATCAAACTGATAAGGTTATGTTATCTCTCTTCTTTGTCTATTTTCTTAGGGAGTATTGAGTAAGGGTAGTAGGGAGTAATTTAAAAAAGGATAATATCCAATATCTAATAAATGTGAATCGTGCCAAATTTTTCAAAGTGGTACCACCGTGCATTTTGCGGGCGAAAAGTGCCACTTTTGGCACAATTGTGCCCTTTGAACAACACTGCCTGAGAACCTTTTAGTTAAGTTAATAAATACTCAAATCCTAAAGTATTTAAAAAAAAAAAAAAAAAAAATGGTATTCAGGGCCGAAAGGTTTAGGATGGGCCTTTGGATGGATCAGCATGACTTTCCGTCCTTTTTATCAACTTCCAATGTGAATTTTATTCGGCATTGGCATCTTTTTTAACAGATCGAGTGAATTGTTTAAACAAATATAAACAAATGACAGTTGTGGGGTAGTGCTACGGGCCAAATCAATTGTTATGGTTTAAAGACCAAGTGTACCAAAATTCATGCTTTTAACACAATTTGCCGTTTTTTTTCATGTACCGCTAGGACTAAGTCACATAACTAACTCACTGTCTTACTATCGACTAGCCTTCCACTAATAATTATTCGATTTACTTTATTCGTGATCCATTTATCATATGCCCAAGAACAAGATAAAATTTAAATTGTGACCAAAAAAGTTGTGCATGAAAGCCAATGAAAGTAAAGATAGCGCATATGCGGCATTCATATACTTGAAAAAGAAACCCAGCTCTATCATTGAACTGAATTTCAGACTTTTATCGTGCAAATTTACAATTAGGTATTGTATTTTAAAACCAATCTTGACGTGTAGGATAGAGCTGCAGCGATTAGCCCTCAACTCTTACATCCAATTTCTTGAACGATTTCACCCCAGTGTGCTGTGAATAATCAAATATATGGGTCCATAGCCAAACGAAGTCAGCCACGACCTCAGTTTAACAAGAGATGAAATTGGAAAGTGAAAGCCATTTAAAAAGTTTGATCGCCTCTTCCAGCCGCTTCGTAGACGGCGTTTTAAATCAGTTATAAGTTAAGACACAGTGGGTTGGCCTGATAAAACTTTAAGCTTCCTCCCACAAGCCATTATTTTTCACCATCATACAATAATTGTTATATTCTGAGTTAATAAAAAGTTTTTACCTTCTGTTAATCTGGATAGGACTATTGGATCACCACAATCTTCGCTTCCAGAAATTGTTATACCCAATGGACCACCGTATCTGAAAATAATTAAAATTAAGCTAGTAGATAGAATATTGATTTTGGCTTCAACTGTAATTTTCTCGTTATAAACGCTAATCTGAATACAAACCTATACTCTTTATATCTTTTAGTTTCGAGATAGTTATCTATACTTTCCTAGCAAAGTTTGCTGTTCCTATTAAATCGCAAAATTATTATCAAGCTCTCATTGGATATAGATCTTGAAGCTTAATCGGAAATGTTTCTGGAATGAGGTTCGAAACTTGACATCGTCTGCGTTAATTAACGAGGATATTAATTTCTCATTTCCATACGAGCAGGCTTTACTGTACAGTTCCCTGTCATCGTAGCATTATAAGTAATGCACTTGTAAATCTATTTGGGCGTAGACTGTTAACTGTTACGATGATGATTGGGGCCAAAGTTAATGTGTTTTAATTAGGCATTTCATAAAGCCAAAAGTAATCGTATAAAGTATAACTAGGGTACATTGTACATTCCGAAATTGAATCTGACTTTTCGTAATCTTGTATCAAATTTTCGAATCCATAATTATTTCGTTTCGGTTTGTGAACCTTACCTGTGAAGTTCTACCGTATAGACGATGCTATCCAGAAATAAATTGGAATTTTCCGTTTCAGTTTTTTCCACTTTAAGAGTTACAATTTCGTTGTTTGATGTTTGAAGTATATCGAAAGCGGATTCCAAACTAAAAAAGAAATTGTTTTAAGCGTAACATATTTCTCTTGATTATGACAATTAGTTACCTCAAATGATCTAAAGGTCGGTTATCAATGGCCAAAAGTCTATCGCCAGCATGTAAGGTGCCAGTTCTATGAGCGATCGAGCCTCGTCGTATTTCCGATATAATGAAAGGTTCATCTGGCTGATGTTTTGAAGCTGAAACAAAAAAGAAATTGATCCCCCTGTAAAGTTCTATATTAGCTAAGCTTTTAAATTTTACGTGATTAAGTATTCTATAGGCGAATTATTCAGGTCAAGTTACTGAATAATAGGACATTTCCAGGGACTTATTTCCCGCTTCCCTTCTTTGCTTTAATGGCGAAATAATGTCGTTAAACCGATTATGCCAGTGTCATGTGTGAAAGATGAATATACGAATATAATAGACCCATGAAACTTCCAGATAATCTTCATATAATTGCCAATAATTTATTGTGAAATTTGAATTTAATCAATCCAAAGTACAAAAATAAAACGTGTCAGTTGTGCAAAAAGATATTCTCTCTTTCAACTATAAGATACTTTTAGCTTGTGACGAAAAAAGTGCTTACTAAACGCAACTCCTTTTTCGTCGCACAGCAAAACTGTTTAACAGCGCCGCAAATCTGCTAGGGTTCGGTCTTTTGTGATTAAGTACCTTTTCAAGAGAGGCCGGGTTATTGAATATTGAATAATAGGGCCTTCACTTCTTGGGGCTCATTATCGGGTCTTTTTTTTTATTTTAAAAGTCAGCACCTTATTAATAGTAAGAGGGTCATTACAAAGCGTCCGTATGATTTGTTAGTCAATTTTAATGTATTTTGTCTCGTTGTTTCGGAAAAGTACCTACAGTTTTTGGAATGCAGTCAGAAAGTACCCAAATTCATCGCTAGAACTTACAAGCGATTAAGTCAAATCACTTAAAAATAAGAATAAGTAGGTACTTGAAGTCTAAAACCCTGCGCTGTATGGGGCCAGCCTCTCTAGGTGGAAGACCTTTGGCTTGGCTTTCGGCGAATGTTGAATTCAGCACACGAAGTCGTTGATTTTCTTGACGATCCTGTATAGGTAATACAGTTCTTGTAGTTTTGAGCTAAATCTCGCCCTTGGCTGTGGATGATAAAACTAAAACCAGGCGCTGTTTGTCGTCGCTTGTTGTGTATTATCCTTATTCTCACTGTTGAGACGTAGTCTATTCCTGGCGAAACCTTGAACTCTTCTGAGTCGGTCCTGGTGTTCAGCTACGTAAACTGAAAGTGTAGGTTCATGTACATCGGCTGCACAAGCATAGGAATTACGGAAAGCTCAATTTCTCTTCCAGTTATGCTAGGAGAGGCATGGACTCCTCCTTTGCTATATTTAGGCTAGTGGTTAGTTGGGGTTGGAAGTGAAAATGTTTAATTTCCCTAGTCAACCTTCGATTTGATGCCTGGGTTTTTGTAATTCAGCAGCTACTGATGCAAGGTAGAATAGTCGATTCCAACAAGATACCTCCATCCAAATGTGGTAGTGTTCAAAGGATCTTACACCTACCCTAAATAATGTTCTTTCGGCTAATATCTCTATCAAGTATTAAGAATATACCTACCAAGTTGTGCTGAGAAGTTTATGTAGGTAGGTACCCATGATAACAATATTTCCATATTGTTCACTTAATTATCTAAAGTACCTACTCAAAAATCTTAATTGAACAATTAAACAATAATGCTCTATCTAGAACCTACTAAAAATATTTAGCTTTTGCTTTGTAGGACTTCCAAAATAGGGAGCCACGCGCTATTAAAGATCTACATCTTGCCTAGCGTTTGGATCTCCTTGGAACCTGTTTCTCTCAGTTGGCGTGCTTACCGCGACGAGAGCATAACAAGCTTGAAACCGGAGCTTTGGTTAAACACCTGTGTTATCCAGAGAAATTTTCCAACATCTCTTTCACTGCCTTTGATATAAAAGGACTGGACGGAGCATTATTTGGATGCCAAAATAAACTTTCCAAGTATATCCCTAGAATAAAACAAGAATGTTATGTCTAGGATGCATATTGAGAATGATATAATATGAAGATATATTCTAAGAATATTTCAAGGATATTGGTATAATATTCTTTCGAGAACATAACTATAATGTCATAGAAACATTCTTTGAATGTGAGAATATACATTTCAAGCATATTTTTAGAATCAAACAGGAATATTCTTTTCAGGATATATGTACTGAGAATCTCATAGGTATATTCTACGAATATCCTAATGGATTTCCCAGGAAGTTCTTGGGTATTGCAAACAGTATTTCTACAATCTTTTCTCAGAACATTCTCAGGACATTGGCAATGTTTTTGGCACACTCCTTCTAAAAAAAGAACATTCCCATTACATTCTAAGGATGCAATTTTGTTATGTAGGTGGAGGATTGAGAAGTTTGGCAATGAGTGGAGAACCACGCAACTTCCTATAACAACACCAATCAGAAAATCAAAAAGATCTGTAGGGTCATGGTTGCTTAGTTGGTTAGAGCGTATCACCGGCAATGCTGAGGACGCGGGTTCGAATCCCGCCCACGACCAAAATTTTTAGTCCTCCAATTTTCCTTAACTTTCTCTTCATTTTCCATTTCCACGCTTTTCAGTTGTTGTAACCGACAAAACTGCATTCCTTTTCAAAAACCCTTCTGTTGTATGTGTGAGTATGAGAGCCACTTAACAGATGATATAGAGGATGATGAAATACCCATGCCTGGATATAATTTAGTGCATTGCTATTCAAATAGCCCACACACTGGAGGAGCAACAATTTATATTAAAAGTTTTCTGGAGTTCGAAGTAATATGTAATGAGGCTGTAGACTATAACTTTTGGGCATTGGATGAGGGTACAAATGAAGACAGAAAATTTGATGGTGGGTGCTTTTTACAGATCACCTAATGGTAACTGTAGGGAATTCTTGAAGTACACGGAAGGAAAGTTAAATGATAGCAAAAACCAATAATCATGGGCGACTTGGATACCGACTTATCAAAAAATGGAAGTGACGCTAAAAACTTGAAAAGGATAATACATACAGCAGTATAAGTTCGTTTGTTGCACAGTTCGGTCGTGTTTTGAATAGCTCCGCATTTGCTGATCGATTTGTGGTGATTTATTGTGCACTTTCAAAAAATGCAGCAAAGGACTCAATAGTAATGGTGGGAAAAACAGTGGAAAAGAAGGAGCAAAACCAGGTATCTCTAATCCTGGCAGAAGTACTTCGTTTGATTCTTCGAATATCAGCCAAGATGAAATTAATAATAGTTATTTATGGTACTAGTGTGTTATGTTGAAAATAAGTCATGCGAGAAAGATTTAAATAATTAAATAAATTCTCAAGTGACTTAGGAAACATAACACACGAGTGGCATACAATGTTTTATCCAACAAGTGGAAGAAATCGTTTTTTTATGAGATAATCCAAAAAAAAAAATACAAGGTTCTAATGCGTTGGCGTCTTCCGGCACTATCAGCAGCTGTACCGATATAGGAGCGTCTGTTTCCAATGAACCAACGAATTTTACAATGACTTCAAATTCGAATAAACCGTTAGCGTTTGCGATGTTAATATCAATGTGAATTCTGCTTTTAATAGTGATAAATAAATAGAATACTACTTCAAATATGAACATGAGTTATAATCCATAACTCACTAGTGAGTTATGAATTATAACTCACTAGTGTGTTTTTTGATAGTTTACTTGTCTAAAATGACAATAATAATAACAGTCATAACTGTCATGTGTTGGATAAAATTATAATTTGGGTTTGTAGCTGAATACTACTTCTAATAACTTACTTGACCTCCGGAAAAAATTTCATACACCTAGCTTTTAAGACAACCGAAATACCCAGTTGGAACCTGTGTCAAGTGACTCACCAGGCTTAAAGGTAAATTGTACTAGAATCATTTAAGTGTCAGTATTAAATTATAATATTATGACTTAATACAATTTACCTCTGAGGTACAGTATTGGTATCGATAAAGAAATGTTCAAGGCTCAGCAACAAAAAAGGGATTAAGGTCAGTTTACACATGCATGGATTTAGTGGCGCCAGTGGTCGCGCCAGTTCTATTTGCACGCCAGTAAAGGTTTACACTTTCTGTGGAAAGCAGAAATAAGTGGCACGCCAGTTTCACTTTTAAAGTGCTTTTCTCAGTGTGCACTATGTCAAGTGAAGTTTCCGAAGCCTGTAAAATAGTCGCTAAACTTTTAGTAAAAAAAAAAGATAAAAGAAATACAGAAAAAGAAACGCAACCAACGAAATGGCCGTTTCTGGGTTCAACCATGGATTGGTGGTCGACCTACTTTGGCTGCTTCTGCAAAACTTCTAGGAGAACTCGCAGCAACCGAAATGAAAATCAAACGAAAAACTGGCGAGCGGACGCCGACGTGCAAGCACTTGTTTACACTTGCAAGTTTTGATTTTCTGTACGAATTTGTTACCACTGGCGCCAGTGATTTCAGAAGGATGCAGACTTTTTTGGACTATGCATGCAAAGATAAAATGTGTATGCAAGTCCATGTTTACACTTGCTAATAAAATCTACTGGCGCGCCAGTTTTTATTGGCGCCACTAAATCCATGCATGTGTAAACGCACCTTTATAATATAAATCCAATAGATAATTTATGCAAAGAGAGTCTTCGCACAGATAACGATAATTCAAATTTGGAATCAATTTTTAAGCCTCGAAATTCTATGGTAGGGACTCCACCAAAATCAAAGAAAACAGTGAAATTGACAATGAAGTGTTTGCGAATGAATCTATATTCTTGGATCACATAAGTTCTCAAAAAAAGACTTTGCTCTAGTTCAAGCCCCTCTATCCTAGATAGAAACAAAATTAAGAAACATAATTCCCAGGAATCTGATGAAAGAGTAAACTCTACTACAGCTAAATCAACAGAAACAATGCAAAATGCAATCCTAAATTCGCTTGAAAGCATACAAAACTTCAGTAAACTGAACGCGTCAGGGCACAGCCAAGATATTCAGTCTGTCCGGTTTGTGATTCACCATGTTACGATGTTAGCGTTTAAAATTGGACAAACAGAAAAAATTAATTTAGATTTGAACTATCGCATTCAACAATTAACTAATGCAACAACAGAATCGCCCTTGAGCTTAGTACAAAACCGGCCTCATGAGCCCCAGTTATCACAGAGTGCCTAATCTTTTTACAGCAATGTACTAAAATATGCACCTGCTAGCAATCATCCTGGATCTTCAACAGGTACAACAAACTGGAAAACTCCTCCCCCAACAAAACCCAAGCACGAGAGCTTAATCAAAATCAAAGGGCAAAATGACTCAAAGTGTTACCTAATGCAGGTAATAACAAATATGAAATCAGCAAACATGACTGAAAAAGTAAAGCAGTTACAGAATGGGGGTGTTATTATTGAATATCAGAATGAAGAACAACAGAAAATACTAAGCGAAAGATTAGCCAAATCGAATAAGAATATCGAGGTTAAAAATATGAGAAATATGGACCCAACGAGGGACCCAATGGTAATGATAACTGGTATACTAAAATGATATATACCTACCTGAGAACTTTATCGAGGAATTTGTCAGCGAAAATAATATGTCACAATTGTTAGGTGTAGATGTTGAAAAATCATTCAAATTTATTACTAAAAGGGAATGTAGAAATAACATGAAAGAAAAATGGATTTATCAAACTTCTCCTGAAGTGTTTAAATGGCTTATCAGGAACAATAACCTGAGGTTTGACCTCTGCCCGGCCTATGTTACTGAGTACACCAATGTTTCTATATGCTTCAAATGCTGCCTATTTGGACATGTTGCAAAGTATTGCGCAGCCACCGAATGTTGCCACAAGTGTGGAGATCCCCAT